CACCTTCATAAACTCATCTCATCAACAGGCAGGCAACAGGCCCATATGTTGTGAACAGCAAAAGTCTATTCAAATGCTCTCTTAGTGCGTGCCGTTTGCCACACGTTCCGTCTTATACGCGACGTTTCGGCATTGAAACACAGCAACACAACAAGGCATTAAGAGCGTTGAACACCAACTACGACAAAAGAGCACGAAATCTGCGTTCTCTCTCTCTCTTTGCCTCTACTCAAATTGAAGTAAATACAATGTAACGTTAAGTTGTTTGTTTTTTTTAGCCGCGCGGGCGAGGGCTGAGGCTACTAAATGTAATCAATAATATTAAATATTTAATGTGGCAGGTGGAAATGTGTATAAGATGTATAAGGTTACACTACACGCAAAAAATGTTCACGTCTAAAAAAAATTTATGATTTTTATAAAAATTAATTTAATAATTTTATGAATTAAATTTAAAAGTTAATAAATATAAACAAATGCGAGGTTTACCTGTGCACAGGCACCTGGCCGCCTAGCGTCGCTCTGCCAAGCACTTGACATCCACTTGCGTTCCACATGCAACAACTTTGCTTGCGCTCTCTTGGCAACTGTCGCTCTCCTCCGCCTTCGTTGAGTTGCGCTGTAAGAGTCGCATACAGGTGCACGCCAACAGCGACTACCTCGCTCTCGCGTTCTGGCACCTACACGCTCGCTCACCCACACACACACTCGCACACATGCAAGCACGCTTGCAAATGATATGCTCTTCGCTTGGCATGCTCTTGCCTGCTCTCTCTCTCTCTCTCGCACTCTCTTTCTCGCGCGCTCTGTGTTGGCAGCAGGAAACGTCGCAAGGAAATGCCAAAATGTTCAACGTCCATTCGCTTTCGCATGTGTGCGAGCAACTGTTACTGTGTGTGTGCGTGTGTGTGGATGACATTGCGGCGCTCGTTGGGGCAGCGCCAGTTGTCGGCTAACGGTAGTCGTTGCGAAACTTTTGCTGGAGTAACGTGTCGCGCAATTGAAATTGGCGGCGTTTTCATCGTCCAGCGCCAGCGTCGTCTCCAAATCGCGTGCTCGCGACATTTTTAAAAGCGTCTCCTTGTGTGTGTGTGACTCTCAGTGTGTGCGTGTGTGAGTGTGTGTATGTGTGTGGGGCTGCCAATTAGTGTGTTACATTTGTGCAACAGTCCCGTGTGCGTGTGCGCGTGTGCGTGCCCCATGTTGCAAGCGTGTGCGTGGGGCGCCGCCGTCGCGAGAGCAACTTCAAAATTATTAACAAAATCTTAATGCGAATATCGAGCAGCTCAACTATCATAAATAAACAAATATCTAGCGATATATAACGATATATAACGATACATATATATAGATAAGCCAAGCAGAACCTTTCTCCTAGGTAAGCTTAACCCGAAACACAAACTTCTAACGAGCTTTTAATTCAGTTTGCCTTTGCCTCGTCCTCTGCGGCGCAGCTCCCAAGTTTGGTTTTTCCCTATTTTTCTTTTTGTTGTTGTTTATTTCGTAAACTTTATACGAAACTCAATTTTTGGCCAAGGCCCTTGAAATGCGGCCCACGACGCACGTTTATGGTCATCAAACTGAATTAGATAAAGTTAAACGATGTCCAATGTCAATTAAATTATGTGAGCATAAAAAACGTGTCTCGAGCGCGACTTCAATTCAATTGATAAAGGTTTGATAGCAGCTTGATAAAAATAATGTAAAAAGTTGAGGCTAATTTGAAGTTGAAGCTCCGAAGTGGGAGTTACTGAAGGAGGGCACGAGGCAGACCTAACAACTTGATAATTTAGTCCAATTTAGTTTCAATTTTATTTCAATCATTAGACAATATTAAGCTCAATATTTTGAATTTGTAATGCACGAGTCTAATATTCCAGTCTCGAGTAACAATTGACAGGAAATTGTTCAAAGCTCTATATAGTCAGACCCGATTAGCCTGGCCTCTAGTGGACTTACAATGTTTAGGTCGATCGGAGTCCAATAGCAGCTCACGTGGCAAGCTGAAAGCTTTTATTCGATTTGACACGCCCGCTTGAGTGTAGATATATTCAGCATATCTTTTAAATCTCGGATTGTACAAATTCCAAGTCTCTTGCACTTTAGCTAATAACTTTTCGGTTATACTAGAAGAGGCATTTCCTGGAGGTATATAACAAACAAAAAAGTTACCTAAGTATATATTCCAAACTTCCAGACGCCAGATCCAACAGTAGGAATAGTTATCGAGGAACAGTTCCAACGGTAGGAATAGTTATCGCGGGTTAGAGGAAAGCCCACAAAAATAAGTTGATCAAATCTCCAAATATTAGCACAGGTAGACGCATGGGCAGGCTGAGCTAAATTTAAATTGAGATCTTTCACAAAAAGCATTGTCTTTTTGGTCTCATTATAAATTTAATTGGACATCATAATGAAGATGCTGTTTATTGTACTAAAATTGGTACTCAATAGAACAAGTTAGAAAAACTAATTCCAATTCATCAATAAAGACTTAGTTTGAACTATAAAAGTCTACGAAGATTTTAACTGTCAAGAAGAAAAGAAAAGAACAGATTCAAGATGTTCCCCAAAACATATCAAAGACTTTAAAGAAAACATATTTATTTTTAATGCAAATATATATATATAATATATACTATAAATATACACCTGAAACACTCATAATTTTAGTAAAAAAATGATAAAAAACATTGTAATACAAGCTTGATAAATGAATTAACATATTTTCGCTGACAGCCGAGTCGAAGATCAGTCAAGATTAGTTTTATTAGCCATGTCTGAGGCTCAATATTTAATGAGCTCTATTCAGCAGCTGCTGCGACGGGCGATCTGTCCCCTGTTTCAGCCTTCGGCACATGCTAATTGATGGCTAAGAAAAAAACTCGAAAACTTTGACAAATATGAAAAGACAAAATTCAATTCAGAAAAAAAAACAAACAAAAAAACGGCAGCTGTAAATTTTTACAGTCCACGACTGTTGACCCAACTAAATTAGCGTGAAAATTCCTAAAGCAGAAAAAATAATTACGAATACCAGAGATAGTTGGCAGCGGAGTGCGTGGGAAAACGGGAAAATTGTGGCAAGGTCAGCAGCAGACGGCGACACGCCCCAAACTCACGTGTAGCCAAATGCAGTTGGGTTTTTAATTAAAAAGAGCAAAAGTGACTTTTGAAATGGTCAAGAGATAAAACTGCAATAACTATAAAGAGCAGTTTAAAACGGAATGGACGATCGACGGGTGGCTTGGGTGGTTTGGGTGGTTGAACAAGGCTTGCTGTACGCGTCAATTTGTTAAGCGGGTCACGTACGAGCCAACCCTATTGGCCAACGCAAGTGCCACACAGGCCTCTTCCGTACGACGTTCCACTCTATCTACGTGCGTGTGTGTGTGTTGTCATCAACACGAATATAAAAATCGAGAATTAAGCTCGATGAAAATGGCAACAACTTTTGCTGCCCCACTCAAGCAACGCCCCTTCGAGTGCCACTGCCGCAAATCGATTTCAATAAACTTGAATTTTTTATATCGCTCGCCCAGTTTATGGGCAAAGACTTTAAAGGCCTCTGCCAAATGACGCAACAAATTAAATGTCAATAATTTAAAATAATTACCAAAAAACACAAACAAAGTAAATGGACACAAAAAACGTTTAGCAACAAATCCCAAGGCCAAACGAATTTCCAACAATTTTTATGGCTTTTTAATCTAATTAAATTGCAATAAAAAGCGCAAACGCTAGAAAAACTGAGTTCAGAGTTAAATAAATAAAAGTAAATCAATAAAAGATAAATATAAACAATATAAATGCAGTTTAAACTCTGCCAAGGAACAAGCGTGTGATGCGACTTGACTTTACTATTGTCAAATGGTTAATGAGTGCGCGACTCTGGCACGAAAGGGTTGCGCCTTAGTCGTGGAGTGGGCGCTGGCTGCAGTCTCGGGCGGGCGCGCTGCACTAATGACCTGCATTTTGCATGTGAGCAGCGAAGCATTTTAAATGGATTCGAAGTGAAAGGGTTGGAAGAGAGAGTTTTTAAAAATTACAAGTATTTGTATTAATAATCTCTATATGCATGAGGGCTTCAGCCTGCTCCAGTTAGAATAACATCATTCGGCCAGTGATCTATGATTTATAGCTCTCCAGAGTCAAATGCAGTTGGGTTATCTAAGTTAAAAAAAAAGTTAAAATATATATAAATATATTGGTTGTTGTTTTATTTTCGTTATATAAAATTATATAATATATATAAATGTTATGTAAATACTGTTTTAGAGCCTAGACATTAAGCTCTTTTCTGCTATGATTAATTTATTTTCATGAGAAAATTTCAAAAATAGTAAACAACTTTATTGGCAAAAAGACATCAAATTTTTAATACATATTCGTTTAGACATAGCCCTGAAAATTATAATATATTTAAGCCCATTGGGACTATGAGTCTATGAACTTTAGTATATATTTTAAAGTTTTTCGGCAAGATCTTTAAAATTGTACAAGTTACAGTTGAGGCATTTGCAGAGAAGTTGAAAGAGACAGGGAGAGGGAGAGAGAGTTGTAAGAGCATTAAAGCTCTCTTTGCATATTCCACTTTGAAATTTAAGATCGAGACTCGGGATCATAAGCACGATATACAGGTATATCTGCAACTTCTATGAATTGAAGAAACCTCAGGTCGTGGCAACTGAGCAAAACACGTGTGAGAGCTAGATTCACAAACTTTTTGCAGCTGAATCACTATTTAGCTGATCGCGAGCTACAAACTATGCTCCTATTGGGGCGTGGCACATTGAACAATATCAACATAGTATCTTGAACAAGCTGAGCAGCCAAGTGATTCCATACTTAAGCTGAGTTCACAGCTTAAACAGCAGCAGATCAACGTCTCCTTTAAAAGGAACTCTTCATTTCATGAGACTCCACTTGAATTTAAGAGAAAGTTAAATAAATCTGCATTCAATTTATTAACAATATAAAAGACACTTAAACTAGTTCCCAACAACACCGTGACTACAATTTGATAGCCATAACATTGACCGCGCTGTGTGGTGCTGGCGGTTGAATCACCACATTTCCCTGCTCATCCTGGTAGTTGGCATAGGGCGCAGATAGCACGCAGTCCATGCCCAGGGCTGCCATTAAGCGGGCTGAGTAGAGGCTGGTGCAGCTGGTGAAGAGTAGAGGCAGCCGCTTGACACGACCCAGCTCCATCAAGCCGTCAACAAGCAGCCGCCCCAGTCCTTGGCGTCGCAGCGAAGCATCCACTGCCAGAATGCTCAAGTACAGAGCATCGACGACGTTGTAGTGCTCAAATACTTGCGCTCTGTGCTCAACGTCGGCGAGGAAGTAGTGCACATGTTCGATCAGCTGCTGTGGCTTCTGTCCATTCACTTCAAGCCAATTCTGCTCCAGATCGCTGCTGCGCACTATGCCAGCAAAAGCAACGCCCACAAAGCGTGCCCCATCGAGCGCAACGAGCGAGGTGCCCTGGCGTATTAGCGACAGGCGATACTCGCGTCTCGTTGCATCATCATAAGTCACTGGATGAGCACCTGGCGTCTGCATAAGCGGCTCATGTCCGTAAAAATGATCACGCAGAAAGCGAGTTGCCTCCGCGATGTCATCCTCTGTCATTTCGCGAACGAACATCATGAGGCCACAGGCTTCAGCTACCAACTGATTCAATTTGCAAATACCTAAACGAGCTTATCGCTGCATTCGCATTGATAACCAGCTGTTCGGGCTGCCGAAGTGACCGATTGTTAGCAATAAAATTTAATGGCTTTATTAATAATTTTAAATCGTGCAAAACACGAATCATTTCAAAGCAATACAAATAATATCTGGAAACTTTGTATTATAAAAGTTCATTATTTCTACCTTCTTATCAATCTACTGCCTTATCTCTCTAAACACTTTCTAGGGTTATTATCATGTTTGTTATTCTTTTTAATATCTTGATTATATAAAGATCTAAACAATTATTGCTGCCATTTGGCTATAAAATTTAATTTTTAGAAAAAATGTTTACAACTTGAAAGCTACCGACTTGCATCTGTGTTATATATATATTTAAATAATCATATATATAGTTAATTATTGAGTTTAATGAAGTCAGCTTTCCCTACAACAAATTTCATTTATAAAACGGAAAATATTATTTTAGAAGAGAAAAAATATTTTATATTTGAACAAAACGTTAACGAACCTTCAATAAATTTCTAGAAGCTTGTAATTTTAATGAAATATTAAAATTATTTAATAATTTAATTATTAAAAATTATTTCAGTATCATCTCTGATCAAAGTTTGCAACTATTATGAATTATGACTCAATACTTAACAACATTTATTTAATTACTATAAAACATCTAAAAATGCATTTGATTTCATAGTCGTCTACAACTAGATATCACTTAAGACGGACAATTTGAGAACCAAAATAAAACCAACTTAGAGTTTGATAGCCATAACACGTACATGTGTGTGTGGTGCAGCTGGCTTGAAAACCACTTGGCCATTGGCATCCTTGTAGTCCGCATAGGCCTTTTCGTATACGCACTCCATGCCCAAGGCCTGCTTTTGGCGTGCCGAATAGTAGCTGGTGCAGTAGGCTGCCATGAGGGGGAAGCCCTTGGAGCGACCCACTTCCATAAGAGCGGCAGCTAGACGTGCGCCCAGCCCTTTGCCTCGCATTGTGGCATCCACATTGGTTACGTGGGAGTAAAGCAGCTTGGGCACATCGTAACGCTTGAAGAGATTGGCTTCGATCTCGACTGCGGACAGAAAAACAGCAATGCGACCCCAAAAATTTGGTTCCAATTCAGCGGCTTCCTGGCGATGCTTCTCCAAATCGCTGGGGATCTGAGGACCAGCCAGGACCAAGCCCACAATACGTCCAGCATTGTTCTGGTCTAAAGCCAAGAGGCAGGTGCCCTCCTCTATCATGGAAATGTGATATTCGTCGTTCTCCTTCTCATAACACTTCTGCACGTTCTCTTCGGCTGTCTCGCACAGCGGCTCTCCGTTGTAGAAATTGTCAGCCATAAAGATTTTCACATTCGGATAGTCCGACACCTGCATTATGCGAATGAGGATGCCATCTTTTGTGCCCAGCTCGGTTGGCATGTTGCGTGTTTAGTTTTTGCTACAGAACTGCCAAAATTTTTGGCAAATGCAACTTTTTATATGTTCTGATTAAGCTCTTATCGTCTTCCAGAGGAAGCACATGAAGCAAGTGCATCGTTTACGCTTTGCTTTCAGCTTATCAGCAGCCCGCCAATTCGACCCATCAAATTTGGCTCACATGGAAACAGTATAAAAACTCGCTGTTTACTATTTTTATATTGGCAATCAGTTCCTAAAAGTTTTGAATTATCTTTGATCAACATAAAAAACATTTTTAGAAAATTTTGCGAAATCTTAGCGGCGATGACAATTGCTTAAGTTATTATTGTTATCATGCTTTCATTTCAATTCAAGTTCTTTCTGTGTGTTGATTTCGCAATACTGATATGGCAGGCATCTACTCATCCCGTCAACTAATAGTTTGGTTTATTTGATGCTCATAAAAGCATCATTTCGCCAAGTTTTAGCACAGATTATCTTATGCAAAATAACTGAAAATAGCACTAGACATCAAGGCCAACAAAACAAAGAAGTAAAACTGCTCGAGTCCGGATTGTCCAACTAGAATATACCCTGAACGCCTTACCGAGCAGCTGTAGCATCGTCGCATGCTCGATGCATAGGATAAACACAATTGAATCAAAGCTCAACTCATCTATCGAAATATGCAGTAGTATCTTAATGGAATATACTTAAGGAGATTCTGTGTTGTAAATTTACTTTTTCTAGTTCTTGAAGAGCTTAAGATATACATAAACACCTAACTTTAATGATAATGGTAAACAGTTCATTATCATAGACTTTTATGATTAAAGAATATTAAAAAAAACCTAGTCTATAAGGCGGGTTACTTAAGTCATTGTGTTTCATTATTATCGATAAAAATCGATCAGTTGATTGTGTTCTTAAAACCTTGCTTGAATAACACAAATTTACTGCGGGGATTTCTGTAATGAATACACAGATTTCCTATACTCTTGATTAAGATAAAACGACTTCAAAGCCTAGATATTAATGATTAGCCAAATACACACATTTGAGTAAATTTATCGCCCTCTAACGATTTGATGAAGCTACTCTATCTAGAAGACAAACTAGCTCAACAATTAATATTACATGGTAAAGCCCACGCCTTTAAAAGACGCGCAGAATATATCAAATATCAATTCTTTGCAGGGTATCTGCTAGTCAGGCACTCCAAGCTAGATCACTCTGTTTTTTTTTTTAATTTCGCAAAGAGTTTCAGTTACTCAGAGAACAGAGCTATTAAACATCAAGTGAGCTTTCTGACTGTATCAATAAAAGCTTGGGCTTATCAACGTTTGCATGTCACGTGGTTTCACGTGGATTTATTGAATACCTTATATAGTGCTGGCTTAGCCTCGTATGTCTTATTGAGTCTCGTACTGTGCTATCAGAAAAATGTCTTATACAGTCCCGGATTATAGGAAGGCATTTCCTGCAGTTTAATAGCCATTACACTCGCCTCGGTGTGTGGCTCCGGCGGCTGAATTACCACGTTGCCATCCGCGTCCTTGTAGTCCGCATAGAGCTCCGAGTGGACGCATTCCATGCCCAATGAGGCCATCAGACGCGTCGAGTATTGGCCCGTGCAGGTGGCCACCATCAGGGGATAGCCTCTGGTGCGACCCAGCTCCATGAGCGTAACTACAAGCCGTCGAGCAAGTCCCTGACGACGCATCGATGAGTCCACAGCCAAAGTTTTTAAATAAAGAGCATCCGTGACGTCATAGTGCTCGAAGAACTGCGCGTGCTTCTTAATATTGCAGAGAAAGTAATGAATATGCTCAATTAACAGCTTCGGCTTCTGCTCATTGACCTCGCTCCAGTTCTGCTCCAGATCGCTGGGATGCATTACACCCGCAAATGCCACGCCCACAATGCGACCTTCCTTACTCTGATCGACGGCAACTAGAGAGGTGCCCTGTCGTACGAGCGATAGGCGATACTCGCGCTTCTTCGGATCGTCATAGATCAACGGGTGATCCCCGGGCGTGAGCATCAGTGGCTCGTGGCCATAGAAATGATCGCGTACAAAGAGGCTTGCCTCATCGATATCATCGACTTTCATTTCCCGCACAATCGTTGTCATCTTGCTGGCTATAACGACTAACTGCACTGCAGTTGTCTGCCAGTTTACGGTTTTATGACAACTATTTGAGTGGACTTATCGCATATAATAAGACCCAATTGCTTGAACTTGAACTTAAGTTCGCCAACTCTTAGCTATTGCATTGCAAGATAGCGCCACTTAACTGATAACAGAACATACGGAAGAGGGTGTAGGCTTGGCCTAGTCGACTAGTATATATCCTGTAACTGATAAAAATGTTTTTATTAAAATAGAAAACATTTACTTATTTAAGCTCAGAGCTTAACTGACATCAGTTTGATCTCTGATCTGTTTTCAAACTAAAAACACATTTTGTTAAGTTTCCAGCAAATTAAATGTATTTGTTTTCCATGCATATGCCCCACTCTTATATACCCTATAATTTCAATACCATAATGCTGGCCTTTGTGTGCGGCGCTGATGGCTTAAACACTATATTGCCGTCGTCATCTTTGAAGTCGCAATAGTTTTCCGAGTGCACACACTCCATGCCCACAGACGCCATCAGCTTGGTCGAGTAGCAGCCGGTACAGGTTGCAACCAGCAGGGCAAGTCCCTTGGCCCGAGCTACATCGATCAGTGCCGTAACCAGACGGCGTCCCAGGCCCTGGCGCTGCATTGAGGCATCCACGACAAGCACCTTCAAGTAAAGAGCCTTCGAGACATCGTAGCGCCTAAAGAACTGAGCATTTCTCTTGATGTTGACCAAGAAGTATTTGATATGTTCCATATATTTCGTTCTTTTCTTATGCTTGAGCTCGTTCCAACTGCTCTCCAACTCACTTGCACTCAGCACGCCAGCATATGCCACGCCCACAATGCGATCACCTCTACTCTGATCGACGATAACCAGCGAGAGACCCTCTCGTACAACACTCTCATCCAACTCTCTCTTATTGGAATTCGCATTCGCTTGGAGACATTTGCCGTGCGACTCCAAAAGCGGCTCGTGCTTCATAAAATGTTCTCGAAAAAAGCAACTCGCCTCGTCGATATCTGTCTCAAGCATTTCGCGCACGATCGTTGTCATTTTACGGGCCTCACTGTCAAACTGATTGCGGTTGCAGAGCTTTTGTATGCATTTTCTCTCTCTGCAGCGGAAGAGTGTGTGGCTGAGCTTACAAGGCTTAAGATAAAGTCAGCTTAAGGCAAAGAAAAAGCTGCAAACATGTTTAATTACCATAAAGTATATATAAATAAATAAATATATAAAATATATGAAGATAATATATATATAATACACACATATATAAACACATATAAGCCTATAATGCATACAACGTACGGGGTTTTCCGTGAACTGATAAACTGAATATTCATAATCCAATCCATACGGTAAGACTTCGGAAGCTGTATTTTTATTGATAGTTATCTTTAAGAGGACTGCTGAAAAAGCGAAAGCTATTGATAGTACGTCGACTAACTATAATACATATATTGTTTAGCTAATATAATATTACATGATACTGTCAAATTAATAGCAGAGTCTGTTTTCTAAGCTTCTCAATTAATGATTGCATCCTATTGTTGCAGCAGTGTTGATGTTAGACTGAGAACTCGTGAGAGTTGTTGCGGAGATGTTATCCGAAGGAAGGTGTTACTCAGTTGTGGCTTGAATCCCACAAGAGAGGGACAAAGATAACTTTTAATGAACGTAGTCATGAGTCTTGTTCAGTTGGACAGAGTCCATTAAATTGGCATTCTGAAAGTGAATTTGGTTGTGACAGGGAATTCGGAATTGAGCTCAGCTGTAGATGTATAAAATAAAATGGAAGATAATCAAACTGACGCAATCACCTACATATGCATATATATATATATATATATATATAATTTAATTTAATATATTTATAATTTTGTAAGCTTCTAGGTTTTATCTGCTTGACACAATGTCTGTCAGAACGATGCTGTCGCGAATGAGTTGCTTGTCTTTATAAGCCATTAATTTACAGTGTTAGCCAATCTTATAAATATTAAGATTATAGAAATATTGTTGCTTATAAATCAAACAGTGCCTTTTGTAATATTAAGCTAAAGTGTTGACAGCGACTGCCCTGTGCTAGTATATAGAATTAGATGTCACAGTTAAATAATAACAACTATTTTTGTATAATATTGAAACAGTTAAAAAAGCACACAGATAGTTAAAAATGCAAGATTTCTTCTCATTTTTCGCCCCTAGTGATACAAATGAGACACGAAAAAAAAACAAGTTTCAGTTCATTAAAAAAATTCTTATCAATCACACACCCAAAGATTACTAAAAGTTAAGAATAATTTAATTAAATTATACAAAATATTTATGTATTCAGCAATATTCAACTAGTTATTACTAATAATTTGAGAACCAAAATAAAACCAACTTAGAGTTTAATAGCCATAACACGTATATGTGTGTGTGGTGCAGCTGGCTTGAAAACCACTTGGCCATTGGCATCCTTGTAGTCCGCATAGGCCTTTTCGTATACGCACTCCATGCCCAAGGCCTGCTTTTGGCGTGCCGAATAGTAGCTGGAGCAGTAGGCTGCCATGAGGGGAAAGCCCTTGGAGCGACCCACTTCCATAAGAGCGGCAGCTAGACGTGCGCCCAGCCCTTTGCCTCGCATTGTGGCATCCACATTGGTAATGTGGGAGTAGAGCAGCTTGGAGATGCCGTAGCGCTTGAAGAGATTGACTTCGATCTCAACTTCAGACAGAAACACGGCAATACGTCCCCAGGTATTGGGCTCCATTGCAGCGGCTTCCTGGCGATGCTTCTGCAAATCGCTGGGGATCTGAGGACCAGCCAGGACCAAGCCAACAATACGTCCAGCATTGTTCTGGTCTAAAGCCAAGAGGCAGGTGCCCTCCTCTATCATGGAAACGTGATATTCGTCGTTCTCCTTTTCACAACACCTCTGCACATTCTCTCCTGAGGACGCGCACAACGGCTCTCCATTATAGAAATTACCACCCATAAATATCTTGACATTCTGATAGTCCGACACCTGCATTATGCGAATGAGAATGCCATCTTTTGTGCCCAGTTCCGTTGACATGTTGAATCTTTAGTTTTTCAATAGAACTGCCAAAACTTTTGCGGGAGCTCAACTATATATGAGGTGTGATTAGATTCTTATCATTATACAGCGTGTGTGTGCAATATATATAGTCTAACGATTTCTTTATTTACGTTTAGCTCGCCTATCGACACACACTTTAAATGACGTACACTTAATTTGAACTCAAGTATTTGCTGGGTAAACAACTCATCAATGAGCTACAAATGAATTTCGCATGGAAACAATTTGACAACTTTTTGCTGTATTCATGTAATCATAGCTGTGATAACTATTAATTGAGTTGAGTCTTTATGCACAACTTGAGAGGGTTACAGTTATGTGAATAGATAGTTTTAAAGTTTTATAATTTAAGAGATGCCCGCTATAAATTCCTAAATTATCTTAACCTTTATTTATATCAAGGGGAGAATATTTCATATTGATATTATATTAGCAAACTTAAAATCAACATTATTGCCAGAAGACTCCGCCTCAGAAAAAGAAGGAAAAACTGTCTAGAGGATATATGTCCATATACCATATCAAATCGCTTCATATCATTTTTATCTCAGCATTGAACTAAGCCCTCAAATATTATTGAGATTTTGCTGCGATAATTTTAATATTATTATATACTTTTATGAAAAGAATTTTGACTTAAAATTAAATAATTAAACTAAGCTAAGCTTAAGCAGCTGGAATAAAATGTGTCAGTATATTTAATTCCAGACATGATTTCTGTAGTTTATAATAAGAGAATTATGAGAAATCCCAACAAAAGAATTGCTTGAAATTCTTTTTTGCATCTTCCACACACTATAACTGTCTAATCTTTAAAAATCATAATGTGGCAATTGTGTTTCCCTTAAATTGCATATCTGGCAGCCCTTTATAGTTGCCTCACTCTCTGTCGCCATCAAAAATGGAAAAATTAGAAACGCTTTAAGCAGCCACAGACAAGCAAGAAAACAGTGAACTGTTGAGTGGGTGTGAGCTCTGTGTGCTGTCTGTTGGTCTGTTGGTCTGGACGAATGCCGGCAAATTCCCAAACTGGCCAAAAACCAACATAATTTACATGTCTGCTGGATAAGTTCGACAGAGAGAAACAGTGCGGCGTGCTAAAAGAAGGAGCAGGGGCAGGGTTAGGGGCAGGGGTCTGAGGGTCTGAGGGACTGGACCAGTCTGGCCCTGCACAGTCTGTACAACCTAAACAGTCTGTTGGCCATGTTATGCCAGACAAGTTACAGTCGTTGTTGTTGTTGCCATTTGCTGCTGGTTGTTGCATGCTTTGTTCGACGGCAGGTGCTTAAAGTCGACTCGACGCTCTTCAATGTGCCCGTCGCAAGTTTATCAAAGTTAATCAGAAATTAACCATTCGTGAGCTGTTCATGCGCGGCTGATTGAAATAAATTGTGTTAGGCGATTTTAAATTAATTTTTATTAGCTCGCACTTTGACATTGTTGAACCAAAAAAAAGTAGTTTTTATATATACATCATACAAATATGATGTGGCAAAGCCGCAGGAGCTGCACAGCTTGTGACGCCCACTAGAGCCACGCCCAGTGTGCAACATACTGTTGCATACTTTTAGGTGGCATGCACAAGGCAAACATTTTTCCTCAAATATTTGCACAAGTTGCATTTTTGATTTATGTTCGTGCAACGTGACCCAAATTTTTGCAGGTTGCACAACTAATTAAAAGTGAAAAGTTGACAACATTCTCCAGTTAAAAATTCTCTATATATATATCTATATATATATATAGAGTATAAAGCTCACACTTTGCCCGATAATTTATGGCGCACATTTGCTGAAAAAGTTGCGACCGCAGCAGAAAATTATTAATGAAAATTCAATCAAAGTTTGCGCGCGCCAGTGCCACGCGGCACATGTGCCACACATATACTTGCAACACATATCATAAAGCTGTGGCACATCTGCGACCTCGAGCCCGCCCGCACTTGCATTATTGTCTCGCTGACCCTAATGAAGATTAATTTAGAACAAGTGTGGCCCAGTGCCATGCGCTGCTGCTGCTTCTTCGGAATTAAAAGAAATAAAACTCTACTCTAGACGACGCTCTAACGAAGCGGCGATCCCAAATGTGAACGACTCGCCGACTTGCCGACTTACCCACTGATTAGGTTGACAACAATGCCTTGAACCAAGAAAACAATTTAATCAAATCATTTTCATTGATTAAGATTTCTAGCGTGATATTGAATTGACCATAAACCCTACGAAATGCCCGAAATGTCAATTTGTGCAGTGTATGAACACTGAATACACTATTTAAAAGAGGGTTGTATAAAAAATTTGGATGGTGCAAATTATATTGAAGAAAAAGTTAAAAAAATTAAAAACAAAAGTTGTATTATTAAAATATATTTAAATAAAACATTCTCAGTTGGCTTTAACAGTTTTGTTTTAAATGCAGCAAAAATAAAAAATAATTCACAAATTATATATTAAATATACACAAGTTATATTTACTATGACAAATATTTATTGATTATTATTATTTAGAATTATTAAATATTATCTAAAGTAATTATTAACTTATTCTCATTATTTTTTGTTTGATTTACATTTAACATTTATTTTTATATTTTATATATATATAATATATAATATAAATAAGATAATATAACAAAAGAAAATAAAAGTTTTACTTATCAGTTTTTTTTGTCTTATATATAAATAAAATTAAAATTATAATATTTGTTAAAATTTAAAATTAAAATATTCTTCTACAATTCCACGATACAATTCCAGAACTCAATTTCTATGTGCTTCAGCTTTTGAACTTGACGCAGTGGAACGAAATAGTTTATAGAAAACTGTAAGAAAATTTCGAGGGAACATTAGCTACTTGTGCCACTTGATTTCGATGATGTGGTAGGTAATTAATTTATTAAACAATTTTCTAATGCGACGCTGGACGCAGTCACCGCGGGGTATCAGAATCTTTGCCTCGATTTTGGATCTCTCGGCCCAGGGGGTCCCACTAATTAGTAAAGAAAAACCCGACCTATTGAACGAACGAAATAGTCAGAGCGACGCAAGTGTTTCAGAGGCAAAGCAGGGAGAGACTCTAGCCAGAGGGTCTGGCTGTGAGTCTGGTCTGCCTACACAATGTGTAACGTAACGCATTATTATAATGCCAGCTGCCTACTGACTAACTAAATTCAATTCAATTCAATTCGTTTATCTGATTTTCTTTCAAGTGGTCAGTGCCGTCGTTGCCGACTCGCTTTTTACAATTTTTTCCTTTTGTATGAATATTTATAAGAAAAAAAGAAGGAAAAAATAACTTGAGAGTCTGTGTGGGGCATTATTTATGTTTTCTTTCCAGTTTGTTTATTTACTTTGCATTTTTCAGTGATTATTTTAAAAATGTTTCAAAGTGGCAAATTAATTTGATAAAAGCGCGTTGCAAAATGTTGAAACATAAATAAAGGCATTCACTATTATCATTACTGAATTAATTAAGTCTAAACGATAATTTTCAAATGTTTCCCACGAATGGAAAATACTGGAATGCGAACGCTTATTTAGAGAATTGCTTGATATAATTTTGGCTGCATTATGAATGAATTTTAATGAAAGTAACTGCATTCGAAAAATCATCTTTAGCAAAATTGAAGTTAGTTTTTCAGAAGCAATTTTTATAAAATTTTCAAGATCATTGCTATAGATTTCTGTTGTACTCACACTGAGCATAGACTTTAATTGTCAATTAAGAGTATGAATAATTTAGTTATCTCGTCAATTGAAATGCACAAATATTATGTTAAAAATCTATATCTATTAGAGCTTGTTGTTTTCAGCTTATAGCATTTTTATGGGCTACAATGCAGACACAAGGCAGCTCAATAAAACTGCGCAGTGCCCCAACTCCGTTTGCATATAAATTTGTAAATCGATTTTGAAAACCAACAAAACAAACTTGCTAAAATTTGAAAAGACAAAACAAGACACCATAAGAGCAGTAGACAGACGAAGGCAAAACTAAACGATATTAATAAACAAAAATGATTTATGTGTCTGCAGCGGTCAAGCATGGAGGCTGGGAACTGAGCACTGAGAATTGTGAACTATCTGCAACAGTGTCTGACTGTGGTCAGTAACAAAGCGAAACTGTAGCAGTTGCTTGTCCAGCCAGTCGGCCAGCCAGCCAGCCAGTTGTTGTTATCTCGAGCCGTTAATCTAATCAATTGAGCGCTGGACCTCAAGAACAATAACAGAGCCAGCAGCACCCTCATAAACAAGGCAGTGCGGCGCCTGCGCAACAGGTAGAAGCGAAAAATGTTCGACAACGGGAAAGGTCTTTCAGCAATGGCTCTTGGCAAATGTTGATGGCAACGTTACGGGCGTGTGCATGACAAATGTTCTTTGATTTATTGTCCAGTTTGAAGTGGACGCAGCCAATGTGCGCCTTAACTTTGTCAACATGGCTAGTTGGTCACGTTCCTGGTGCGGCACTTCATAGACGACGCGCAGAGGCCCGTTTCGCAGGCGCAGGCACTGGCACAGTCACAGCCACAGTCACACCACCTGCTGTGCGCATGCTGCAAACATTTTAAAAATAGCACACCAAATGCGCCACAGCACATCAAAGTATAAAATGCGCCAAACACAGTTCGATTTTTTCCAGCCTCAGCTTTATATATCAAACACATACATACATACTTCTATATACATAGTTTTTTTGTTTTTTTTTGCTTGTAATCGGAGCTGGCTACAAAGCGCCCAAATACATTGCTTCCGCAGTTGAGCGCTGTTTTCATAATATATATATATATATATAAATATATATATATAGTATTTTTTTCTTCCTCCCAATTTTTTCCCGCCCGTTCTCTGTTGCAGGTGTCGCCTGCATGCACACTTGACATAATGTTGTTGCCAGTTGGCGGCACATTTCATTTCAGTTTGGAATTTATTGTTCGCCCTCGGTGATTTCTATATAATTTTATTGCCATTGTGTGGGCGCGCATTCGATTATAGTTTTTCTTGTCTTTCTTTTTTT